AGAAAAATTAAAATTATTAAAAATTTTATTAATAAAAAATAATAAAATTTTTAAAAATTAATAACTTTTGATCTATTAATTTAATTTGAACGATTTAATTACCAAAATGATCTTCTTATAGAGAAGATTCTAATGAATCTAAAACCAGCCAAATCTGATTACATAATCTTGAAATTGTTAATAGTTTGTATTATATTTATTATAATAAATATAATATAAAATATTAACAATCTCACAATTATATAATTAAATTTGGCTAATTTTAGATTTATTAGAATTGTTTTTATAAGAAAATCATTTTGGTAATTAAATTATCCAAACTGGATCAATAGATTAAAAGTTATTAATTTTTAAAGATTTTATTATTTTTATAATAATAATTTTATTAAAAAAACTTTTCCTGATAATCATTTGTATCAAAATTTCTAACTAAAGAAAAACCAAATATAGTATTTGTTAGAAATAAGTTAAAACTTTCTGTAGTGATTCTTATAAAAATTAACTATACTTTTGAAAAACTTCTTTTTATATTCAATATACAAGCTAAAAGCATTATTATATAAGATAATTAGTAAAAGTAATATTTTTGTATAAAAATTTTTGTGAAGTTCTGAAAAACAGTATACTTTGTTAATAAAACTCTAGATAGTCTTTAAAAAATAAAAATATAAGGAGAACAAAAAGCAGGCAGTCTTTTTCTTTATAAACACTTTTTGTAATTAGTATAAGTAGTTTTTTTTTATAGCCTACCTTTGCTTTCTTGTTATTCTTTCAAAATTTTTGATAAAAAGTGAAAATTTGGTTTATTTTTTCCAAAAAATTAGCATTGTTTACTTTCTAAATTCAAATAAACTCAATCATGTGTTTTGTTAATTTACAAATATAGTAATTATTTTATAGAACATAAATCAAGGCTTTGGTTAATAAAATATTTGTAGAGATTGTATTTAAAGATCCTATAAGACTAAACTAGACAAATCCCAAATCAATTTCAGATTCCAAATTTATTTCAAATCCCAAATTTATTTCAAATTCTAAATTTTTACTTTCTAAATTTCAAATTTATTACTTTTGATTTATATCAATTTACAAAAAGCCTATAAACTAGAACAAGAAATTGCTAAAAGTAAAAAAATTAAAGATTGAAATTTGATATTACAAAGATTATATTATCAGCTTGAGAGTTACTATTGGACTGCTAAAAAAATACAAAATGTCTGTATAGATATAATTTTTATTAGCTAAAGTATATAATTGGTTAAATAATCAAGCTATTTTTCAGATTCATAAGTCTTGCCCTAAATTTATTCAATATTTTTCTTTTAATAGAATACAAAATTTAAATAAAGTTAATCAATTCAATACTATACCTATGCTTTATAATAAAATTGGCAACTGAATTTACAAACACAGAAAAATAATAAAAGATATAGCAATTAGATTTTATTATAGTTTTGCTTTAACTAATAAATCATTTATGCAAATAGCTAAGGTAATTCAAAAAATTTATAATAATCCAAACTGCCTTCTTACTTATTCTAAAACTTTTATTATAAATAGGAATACCAAATATATGGGCAAGTGTAGAAATTTATTGTTTAGCTATAGTGTAAAAATTAAATATACTAACTCTAAACATAGTGTGGCTATTGCTAAACATGACTATTAAGAATTTAAAAATTATACTTATTTTCAGCAAGATACTATAAAATTTTATTTACCTTTAAGTAAAAAGTCTAAAGTATGGGTTAAAGGACTTTGTATAAATAATGATATTTTAATAATATTCAAACTTAATTGATAGGTATATCTTCTAATGAGACTATAAAAACAGCATTAAAAGACAAAAAAACAATTGCTAGTCTTGCTATTAAATATAGAAGACTAACTAGTTGAATATAATGAACCACTTTTACCTAGCTATACTGAAATTTGTTATCTTTTAGAACCTGGTAAATTAGAAAGTTGAAGAAGAAGAGCAACTAATTGCAATTGGTTTTCTAAAATCTTTTAGTTGATTTTTATTTAATTAAAAAAAATCAACCTATTTTCTATAAGCTTTATAATGGTTCTAAATACTCTTTTGTAAGAGAAAAACTACAAATCATCCTGCTAAATATAGTGTTATTATCCAAATATATTCTTAAGCATTAGTTTTTTCTTCTTTTTCTTTTACTTGATATAGGATTTGTTTGAAGGTATTGCTTAAGTAGTTATTTATTTTAGCTCTATTACAGTCAGGGATTATTGCAATATGGAAATGATCTGCAAATATATTAGAAAGGTATTCTAAACCCGATTTCAATTGAAAAAACAAAAGCATTTTTTATTATCTGAAAATAACCATCAGTTTTAAAAAATCCTTTTGCAAAAAGTATTCCAAGACGATATAGTTTAGAAATCTCTGAGGATCTCTAAGGCTTTATAAAGCCATTATGTAATAAATAACAAAAGTGTCAATAATTTGGCCAAAATTTGGCCAAAATTTGTATTACAGAATTGCAGATCTTTGCCAAAAAACAGAATGATCTGCATTACACAACTTTCAACAATCTCTGACTGTATTATAGACTATAATTTGTTTATTTTTAAGCTAGTCAATCTATAATTTTTTTTTTTATATTATCATTTCTGGGTTTATTATCTATAAAAAATTTAATAAAAAAATATAGAAAAAACTTAAATTGTCTATATTTGTTAAATTCTTTTTCAAGTATTGCTCTAAACTTCTTTCTTTAGCTTTTTAATATTTTTCATATATCACTTTCATTATCTAGATAAGATTTAAAAACTTTTGCATAATGTATAGCTATAGCTCTTCTTTTAACTGCTGTTTCTAATTTTTCTTGTTTTCTAAATTTTAAATTCTTTTTTGACCTTTTATGCTCTTTAATTTTTTCTAAATACTCAAATTCTTTATTTATCAAATTTTTAGATTTATTATCTTTTCTAAGGGTTTGTGTTTTAGATCTTGAATCGGTCTCTAAACTATTTTCTAATTTTTTTTTTATTAATAGTCTAACTACTTTTAAATTATATCATAGCAGAGAAGCATGTATTGATTTAAGTCTTCTGATCTGTTATAATTTTCTAGATCAAGTTTTTCTATCTTCTTAGCAACCTTACTTTTCATATTCTAAAATACTTACTAGGCTTTCAAGCATTTGGATTAATCCAATTTTTAGCTTCTTTCTAACTAATTAAATATCTATTTTTTTCATTTCTCTTTTGATTGTTAACTTTAGAAGTTGAAGTTTAAGTATAAGTATCATTTTCACTTTCTGAAAATATTTCTTTATGAATTTTAGCTATAATTTTTTTTTTATCTATAAAACCTTCTTTTTTCTTTCAAAATCTCTTTGTAAATATTCGAATATTGAATTTAGAAATATACTTCATTTTGATTTAATTATATAGTATTTGTATAGAGTTTATTACTTTTGTTTTTCATTTTTAAATAAAAATGCTTTTTATCAAAGTTTTCTGGTTTATAGTATGTTTTCTGTTGTAAGTTTTCAAAAGTGCTTAGTTTTCTTTTAATATTTTGATAGTTCTATTTAATTTTAGAATTTTTGAATAAAGTATTTTTATTAAGTATTTTACTAAAAGTTTGATTTGATACTTGAGTAAAAAAAGCAAGAGTTGAAATTGGAGGGATTCCTTTGGGACTATTTACCTTATTAGCTATTTTTTTCTAATTTTGTAATGCTTTGCAAAAATTTTTTTGCTTAAGATACTTATGAAATTTTTGAGAAGTTGAGCATTCTTGTCTACAATATTTACATATTGTACTTTTTTTATCATTTCTTATTTTTTTAACTATAGTGTTTGCTCTAACTGTCGTACTATTACTTGCTTATAAAATTTTTTTCTTTAATAATTATTTTTTATTTTTTTTACTTTGTAATTATGGATCTTACTATCAAAAGTGTTATTTATAGGGTTGCCAGAGTCTTTCTAGACCATTATAGAACTAAAGCATTAATTAATTATTATTAATTTTTTTTTAATCTAGTAGTAAGAAGATAATAGGTAAATATTTTTGTTTGTATCTTAGCAACTCTAGAAAGACTTGTAGAAAAGCTTGTATTTATCCTAAAGGATACTAGTTTCATTAAAAAGCTAAAATGTGTATAATATGCTTTAATTGTGGAAAACTTATAGCTTTTGCTTGCAGCTAATGCCTATTACATATTAGAGGCTATTATGTTACCGAAAATAAGCTACCATTTTTGGGCAAAAAATTACACAAAAATTTTGGGAGTAGCTTATTTTCGAGTAATAGA